CTATTTTTTATTGCAATTTGGCTGCATGTATATAAGCAAAATTATTTTCGCCACAAAATCACAATCAGTTCTTTAAGTAGAATTTGAAGCAATGTTTATAAGCACAAGATTACAAACGGTACCTGTCTTTCAGCCGCGGCGTGGACATCAAGTGATCACACATACGTGTCAGTCTAGACGCGATCCTCTGTACCGCTGTATCTGGAAAATAGTCTTGGTACATGTTCCTGATGAAAGCTTCTCTCTTGTCACTTGTCAGTTTACCAGTAATTTCAGCATTCATCCAAGACCTCATTGTTTTTCGGGTGCAGCTTTCCGTTTGTAAGTTTCCAAAATAGACGTCAAAACTGCTTATCGGAACAGTTGACAGTTCTTTCAACACATGCTGCAGTCTCTGGGAGTGATCCTGTGACAAAAGACAGTCGTACCAGATTCCCCACATGAACCTCAAATCCTCATCACTTGCGGGATCGATGGTTCGAACTAGGTATAACAAAATCAAATCTCGTGACAAGACACCATTTTCAACGTCATTCAGATGAATGTTAATGATTTGACCTTCCGACTTCGTGGTGCCATTTCTGTGCAGCACGTGTATGGTGTGTAGGACATTTCTTATGTCACCGCATCCGAGAAACAGCATGTCACATTCCTCAGCAACTTCACAACCATGGGTAATGTCAAGCGACCGTGTGTTCCCCACAGGGTAATACAAATCATGCTCATTGAACCGTACCCGCTCCGACATGTCTTACCTTTCCAAAACACTGAAACGAGTACATACCATAATAAATATCGTCCATGTGTAAAACTATCAATAGATTATGGGTTAGCTTGACCATTTAATATTTTTTGTTATATGTGAATAAGGTATTCCTAATAAGCAACAATAATATTGCAATGACTCAGGTGTATCTAATCGTATTTATTTATTATTTACAAAGTAAGGATACATAAAACATTTGTAAGTTGGATGTACGATATTTGCAATGTATTTTATTTATTTACTGCAGTAAAAGCGTTGACTGACAGTGGGTTGTATACGTCCACAATAGCCGGTAATTTTTAATCAGTTGTACCAAATGTTACGTTTATTTTTGTAGAACATTTTCATTTCAAATCTATGCAGCAAAACTAAAATGAACAATATTGGAACAGATCATTTTGATAAAATAGTAATTTCGTATAAAATATACTTGATCATTTCTGCATAATTTCTGCAACCGTAATGTCTGTTTATAAAACAATGCTTAACAGAAGAAGAAAAAATAATGGTAAAGCTTCATATTAACTGATAATATATCTCTAGCTCAACATGTTATTGACCATGTGTCACCACCCGTTTGTTTACCTGATATCTCCAAAGCGATGCGATAAAGTTCTTCCTGTGCATAATACGATGTTGACTGATGGCCCCACCCTTTCAACTCCTGTATGCTCCAGTTAACAGTTAATAGCCGTCGCTTCACACAGCCCAGCTAGAATTGCGCCTCATAAGCAACTTTTGAAAAAAAGCCGATCCAGATGTCAATACCACCAAGCTGCAGTGTTGTTGCCTTGCATTGTATACGTACATTTGCGTTCGATAGAGAGTAAGCTTTCCCTTCATCTCTCTGTTATTATCAAAAGATAGACATTAAACCAACCTATGTTTAATACGTGTGTTAACCTGTTTAAATATCACACAATCCTTTTCTCTTCACACAAGCCCTGTCTGTCATAATTCAAATTTGGGTTTGTCGCAGTATTATTTCCCGATATCTACACATTGTACAGACCACAGATGGTGTAGCTCGTGGTGGCCTCACAGGTCATTACATAGTTCAATAATTTATGTAGGCCTATATAATACATGTATGCTATATTACGTATGTATATCATATAATGTACATACATACATATATGTGTGTGTGTGTGTGTGTACAGACATATATAATAATATATATATACACACATTATATGATATACATACGTTATAAATAATACTAGCTGACGTTTTGACATAACTCTTAAAGTAGCTCCTTGTGTCGTGGCTGAGTGAAGATACACTATCGAACCGGAATTATCGATTTTATTGACAGTGTTAGCAGCGCTAGAATCCGTGTCAGTAACGTACCGGGCACAAACCGCAGACACCGAGTATGTAGCATTTCGCTTAAAAATTCGTTTGAGTCTCTTACCTTTTTATCAGACTGTGTACTTATCTGCCGCCCATGACAACAACAACTCTTTTCTAGGAATATGCGTGACAGCTTCCTAGTTTCGTTTTAGATTAATTGAAAAGGGAAATAACTCCATAATGTCACTTCATGGTGCATACAGGCCGCCCTCGGGGCCGAAGTTTACCCTTAGGCCATACTACTACTACTACAACTACTACTACTACTACTACAACTACTACTACTACTACTACTACTACTACTACTACTACTACTACTACTACAACTACTACTACTACTACTACTACTACTACTACTACTACTGCTGCTACTACTACTACTACTACTACTACTACTGCTGCTGCTGCTGCTGTTGTTACTACTACTGCTACTACTACTGCTGCTACTACTACTACTCCTACTACTACTGCTGCTACTACTACTACAACAACAACTACTTCTACTGCTACTACTACATTAACAACAACTACTACTGCTACTACTACTTCAACGTCTTTAGCTACTATACCTACAATGTTACATCTGCATTAACTGATACATTTCCGACTGCAAATGACTGCGGTCACACATAGGATATTTCCGATCTCTTGTGTGTTTGGCATGGTTCATTAAGGTCAGATAATGGTTGATATTAAACGGTACGAGCTGAATGTACGAATATGCGTTTGGCAGTGTGCAATATAAATGATAAAATGGTCCTGGTCAAATGAAATAATGGGATAACACCTTAGTTACTTAGTACAGTTTTACTTCCATAAGTCATCACCATCATGCTGAACAAATCTTGAAGGCATAGTTATATTTAGCTTGTCGCTTTATCAAGAAAGGTATTTCTTAAAACATCATCATTAACTGCTTGTGGAAGAAGATGTAAACCGTTGTCAGGGTAAAGGCAGTTGACCTTTTCGATGGGTACTTGCACTCGATAAAGAGGTACTTGTTTCACACAATCAATTCTGAATCCCAGTAGTAAATCATTCAATACGTGACAAAAGTTTATGAAGCATATATATAAGTAGAGCATTCTGAAAGCGAGGCTCAGTTGATAATCAGCCAAACATCATTAGGAAATATGTTCTCGAGGTACGATATGACCCATTAATTAATTAATCCCGGTATGTTCCACCTCGTAGTAATGATTAAATGTATTGTTTTATTTACTAATGCAACATACAGTGTAACATTTGTCGTCAGCCTTTGAATAGTTCGGTTTGTGAGTGAGTGAGTGAGTTTAGTTTTACGCCGCATTCAGCAATATTCCAGCTATATGGCGGCGGTCTGTAAATAATCGAGTCTGGACCAGACAATCCAGTGACCAACAGCATGAGCATCGATCTGCGCAATTGGGAACCGATGACATGTGTCAACCAAGTCGGCGAGCCTGACCAACCGATCCTGTTAGTCGCCTCTTACGACAAGCATTGGTTACTGAAGGCTCATTCTAACCCGGACCTTCACGGATCTGTTCGGTTTGTACATGGACAAGTCATAAGTATATTGAACTTGGTGGCAGGCTATTTCTGTTCTCTCTCGTACATTCGCACTGGTGCAGAATATGTGTGTATTGAACGCTCAATACAATGACAATAAACTTCGTTGTCAAGCGAGTAAACAAAACATCAATCGTTAAGTGTCACAGAGAGCATATCAACACTGGTTCAGAGAATCAATAAGTGGAGTGTTTGAGAAGCGTCTGGATGTGCAGCTTAGGCGGTAACATTATGTAATTGTAACGAAAGTGCAAACTACTTGTGTGAATCAGTAATTACTTTGTTTGTACTTAATCCGTTGTTATTCGGTTTTAATCTCCCGGTTTTATCTGTTTTGGACTTTCAAGAAAGACTAAAGGTTTTTCTTTCAGTCCTGGGAGGTGGGGTAGTCTAGTGGTTAAAGCGTTGGCTCGTCACGCCGAAGACCCGGGTTCGAATCCCCACATGGGTACTATGAGTGAAGCCCATTTCTGGTTTCCCCCGCCGTGATATTGCTGGAATATTGCTAAAAGCGGCGTAAAACCAAACTCAGTCAGTCAGTCAGTCTTTCAGTCCTAAATAAGACCAGCTGTCAGTTTCTACTTGTGAACTTATCTATGCTGATTTCTCACTGGTAAATATGTCATAAATGTTTTATTTCACATGAATCTTCCCTACAACCGCATACACCAGTGAAGATCTGGGTAAGAATTGGTCTTCAGCATCCCATGCTTGTCATAACAGGCGACTAACGGGACTTGGTTGACACATGTCACTGTATCCCAGTTGCATAAATCGATGCTCATGATGTTGATCACTGGATTATCTGGTCCACACTGGATTATTTACACACCGCCGCCATATAACTGGAATATTGCTGAGTGCGGCGTTAAACAACAACCCAACCAGCCAACCAACCAGCCAGCCAGCCAGCCAGCCAAGCAACAACGCATACATTATGTTCAGTAACCCAGTGTTTTCTAACTGAGCATCAGGTGCGGAGGATGAAGTACGAGTTCAGTCAGCACATGGTTTGTCGCCTACTGGATGGTGCACGTCCTAGCTTCACAGGGCTGTAGGTGAAAAGTGAATCCAACATCGACAAAAGGGTTTGGGTTGGATGTCATTCCACGACTAAACATTCTGTCCAGGTGGGAATGGTAAGACATCGGAGGATAGGTGGAGGGTATAGTGTCCAGCATCCGTCTCATCCTCTCCCTACTTCCCCTTCAGGTCTACCTACTCCCACGTCCTCAATCTTAGCCGTGAACCTTCACATCCCAGCCCCTAAAACCCCGCACCCTTTCAACAAAAGAAGCACCATTTTGATTTCCATGACGCAAAAACGTAGGACACAAGTGACTTTATTACACAACTTACAAACTTGAAAAATACCAATCAGTTAAGCAAACACAAGTTCAGTGGTTGAAGTCAGGGTTAAGGATGTGAAGGCAAATCCAGGTGTCCCTATTCTCAAATACACTGAAAGGCGAGCTGTCTGTATATGAAACGTCTCACCATACAATTATGACATACAATTATGTTATGGACATGTTTCTGAGTGTGTTCTTCAGCTATTGTGAACCAAGTCCGAATTTCAACATATTTATTTGAACTCCTCCATATCTAAAATCTCCTTATGGCTAGCTATTGATAGTACAGTTTGAGTCCCTGTCATTGTATTCGCATTTGTGAGACGTGTGGCGTTTACACAGCTACGTATATGAAATACTTACGTTATCTGTCAATGTGATAAACAAGCAGCATCGGCAATTTATTCATCAATTGAAAATGCGTATTATAATAAATACATAAATTACATGAATTACCTATATATGTAAATTGCGGGGATTTCATACTACATCCCCAGGACCAAAGTCTGTCGTATTTGGATAGCTGTGTGTCATCGTTAACATCAACTACTGGTTTTATCTGACCAAATGCTGCTGAGTTATAGCTGAATGCGGCATGAAGTTATTACAGAATCTACTCATCCACTAATTCATAGATTTTCCTATTGATTACGCTTGATTACAAATGATATCTGATTTTAACATAGTGATATCACTAGCACGTATAAAGTAGGAACACTTATAGACGACAGCCAAATTGTTTCTTAGGAGCTTGTCAGTTGTATGTGATAAATAAGGTGCTGATGCTTAGAGAACAGTTACTTATTTATCCTATTCATTAATTACATATTGCCAGGCAAAACCTAATTGTGCCGATAGCAAAAGTGCGAAGTTATTGATCTGTTGTGGGTCCTTACTTAAAACTATTATGTGAACTTTCTCACAACTATGCCTACATGGCTGACATAAACATCTGTAGGCCTGCATATTGCGAAACTGCAGCCCTTTCAAACGACGGTAGCATCATCTACATTCTAACCTTACACACAGTATCAGTATTGCTTTCAGGTGAAGCTTAAGATGGAATATCGCTGGCGCGTGTGTTGTGGCAGATTCACAGACGTTCCCGTGGACTGTCCAGGCTTTCCTGTTGTTTAATACTCTGCCTCAGTAGAACACCAGGCTGCATCCGGAACACCTTACTGTCTTCTGAGATCTAACACAACTGTCACTAACAGCACCAGAACCAGACATCGCTCCAATGTCCATTTCTCCGGAACAGCTTAAACTACGAAATTATACAGAATTAGGGACTATACTTATTCAAGGTTCATAAGCAAAGCACATGCAGTATACTCAGTAAGTAATAAACTCTTATGCTACGCTTCCTTTATACATGAACTTACAAAGAGAACTAAACATTTCAGGCATGTCTTCCTCGAACTTCAAAGCATATAGTTCCTTGTTAGGATATCTCCCTCTCAGAATGGTTCTTGTCATCCATCTTCTGTCCTCAGGCTGATATTGAATCATTCGAATGGAATTGACTTCTAGAAGCTTCACCAACAAAGCATATCCCTGTCAATGACAAACACACATGCACAATCATCACGGACACGGAGGTTATGACGTTGATGCTATAAATATAAACTTAGTTGTGTAATCCAATGTTCCCAATAATAATATTAGATAGACGGTTATTCTGAACACAAAAATAGTCACTGTTTTCTGGTTTAGACGTATTTAGCGGCTGCTGGCATATAGCTGAGGGAGCATACGCTGAGTATTGTGCAACAATCAAAACATAGGGAGCAGAATAGGTTACCACAAGTTCCTTGTACATACACTGAACACATAGAGCCAGCAGTCTGGTATAATCAGTTAGACTGCAGTATCTCATTTTGTTTATATCAGTAATATTTACCTTGCTAAGATTTGGAGAAGATGATGGGTCCATTTCCACACATGTCTTCTTCGTTTGTTTCCATGGTAAGATTTCTTCATCCGTGATTTTCTTTGGCTAACCAGATCATCAGCTTTGTCAAAATCGAAAAACGTCAAAAAAAGGGTAGGTTTGTTCTCGTGGATCTTCAGATCTTCCAAACGAAGCATGTTGTTTGCTCTCTTGTCAGGATTTGTGACACTTTGAGCTCTAATCGTGATGAGTTTTGGCAGCTATGAAGAAAACATGCAAAGGCAAGAATGAAAGTCCAGTATTTCACTTGATATACCAGTGCATACACAGATGGAAACATACGCACCCTTGTATAATATTTTACTTTTATCATGAATTCTATCACTCTTTCGCAACATATCCTACAGTTAAAACAGCAAGTAACTGGCATAACTATCCAAAAGAATCGATATTTAATGTACAAACCACCTACCCCAAATGAAAACGGGGCCTTTATCAAGATGAACTCCATAAGAAATCTAAGCTGTTCTTTCGGCGACATGTGGTGTGACAGACTCGCTGGAGACGAGAGGCACATGCTTCCAACGTACGTCTCTATTGTTTCTTTACCGCTTTCCGAGAGAGGAAAGTTCGGGAGATCAGCAACAGAGCTTGTGTGGAGCTTGTTCCAGGGCAAAACTCGTTCACCGAGAGTCACGTCAGCATCCTTGACAAGACGAGCTTCAATTTTCCCCTCTTCCTTGACACTTTAACGTTGCTTGTGTTCAAAGCGATTCCACATGAAAGACTTAGCGTTTGTCTAAAGCTTGATTGGCTGAAGCACGAAAAGTAATACATTAAGAAAACCTTGGATATACAGGAATCATTTAACACCTGCATCATTTCCTTCAACCAGAGACCATATAATATGGTCTCTGCTTCAACATCCCCCACCATAGCATAAAACAGGTGAAATGATCAATGCTTTGGAGAATAATCGAGACTGGCTTACCTCTGGCACTGACGTTATACATTTACAGCACATCTGAATATAGTTAAGTATGGATTCACGAACTGTTTTTGAACGTCTATAACAGTTCCATACCTACGCCCATCTTGCATATAGTAACGTTTTAACACATTGTGGCATGATAAAGTCCACACAGCATAACAATTAACAATGGACATCCAGTATGGACATTCCGGGCAACAGCTGCACGATTTAGTACATACAAATCCCAACAATATGGTGAATACAACAGCATCACTTTGTTTGTCATTTTGATTTGAGGTATATTTGAGGTGAGGTGAGGTGAAATTGGGTTTAACGTCGTACTTGAGAATATTTCGCTCATATGACGACGTAGGTATATTTGAAGGTTACAGTGGTCCGTTTATATAATTTTTACCACTTATTTATCCTTTATATCCAAATCAATCTGTTTGTAGGAATGGCTATTCAATTGACGTTACGTCGTTTGGACATCTGCTATTTCGGGGAAAAAAACAATTTCAAATTTTTGTAGGTGTTAAGAAAACATCTCTATCCCTGTCAAGAGTCGTATCGGTATAAAAACCATGCTTGTTTTCCCTGTTTAATAAGGACAAATAGAACAATAACTAACCTCACCTTGCACCTTGAAAAGGTTAAAATCAACGTGTTCAGTCATCTAAAGGAGTTCAAAGGGATGTGGAGAAACAGTGGAAAGTCCACACACATTGCAAGTTGTAAGATTTTCGTTTTACTAATGATTAGACTCAAAACAAAAACTCACCCATTGTGGCTGTTCTGTAGAACCATAACATATGGATCTCCATCTACACAATCCATGCTGACTGTCCCCTTCTTCAGACATTCTGGGTCGGTTTGGATGGTCACAAGATAATGATCTGTGTACTCAATCAGGGTCTGTAAACAGTGTACAACTTGGTATATGTAGCGTTAACAATCTGGCTTGCTTTTAAATAAAAAACGACCTGGGATTATTATAAACAGAATCGATTTTTGTTTGATGAAGTAGGATACAAATATCAAGAGGACGATTGAAAAGCTGTTTCAATAAAAACATATATTCTGCTCACCACTCTGATCCCAGGAATTGGATCACTTTGGCTTTCTTCACAAATACTGCTGACACACCGTGAGTAAACCACTTTGCTTGTCGTTGAAAAGCGGAGAATGTTTTTGAGCTTTTAAACTTGCTGTAATAGTCCTATTTCTTTCTATGATATTATTTTTGGTATATGGAACACATTTTCTAATTCTTGCAGGATTGTTGATGTTTCTACAGCCGCTATTGTATATACCAATGGTATTGCAGTAATAGGCATTGATATATAAACCTAGATATTTTCCAAATACAATTGTTGCATTTTCGTATTAGATGTTCAATGTTACAGATTTGAGTGCCAACTATTACTTCTATTGAGAAATCAACACGTTACAATCATAATCATGTAAAATGTACTTACATTGCGTTTCGTCGTGGCTGTGGTTTGAATTCACAGGTTGGCATCAGATGTTTGTTTTTATGTAAAAGTATAAACAATACAATTCATTAGACTAGTTATACCATAATATATATACAATTGTAACTGATGAATACACGCGTACGTCTTGTTTAATCTGAAGCACAAAACCTCTGAGAAAACAGCACGAAGTCAGTAGTATCGTTCTATGCATAAGCAGCACAGTCCCGCCCATTATGTGTTGAACTATACAGGAATCAGCAACCCCTCAGTGGGCGTGGCGTTCATGTCTTTCAGTTCATGAATAAATTATTGGGCGGTTTGCCAATCAGTTGCCACGAAATCGCTTGCAATTCATTCACATCATTATATCACGTCGAATGAAATTACAGATATTGTGGGTATTCAAGATACTTCAGAAACTCGAAGACACAACCTTAAAAAGGTGATTATTTCAAACATGTAAGAGTGTTGTAAATAGTTTGTTCATTGTATACAATCTGTGAATAGGAGTGATAATTAATACTGATAGGTATGTTAAGGTGTATATTTAAACTGTTATCTCACGAAATGACAGACAGACACAAAATATATATACAGTAAAGAGGCCCTCGCCCATGATACAATCAGATTGACACAATGTCATAAAATGAAACATATTTATCACTTCAAACGTAAACACACTTGAATCTTCACAACACTCATGTGTTTGAACTGATTTTTTTACACATATTGCGTCTCTTTACGGATGAGTATCAACATCATGACTAAGAGTGAGTGAGTGAGTTTAGTCTTACGCCGCACTCAAGACTAAGAAAATTGATGGTTGCTTATCAGTGCATGTTTTAAAACAATTAAAATCGAACTATGAAATGGGAAGAGTGGATCTCGTCGTTACAGCAATAAATAAGAAAAGAACGAGTTTAAGCGCTATTAACATGTGAGAAGTTTCAGTTTTGTTTGAAGCTGTTTAAGGGAAAAAATATGATTATTTAAAAGAAAGGACTGAATTATTGTCAACTGACAACATTACATAGGGAATAAGTTCTAAATATGTAGAGACATTTAAGAAAGATGGATGGAAAGCTTTGATCGACTTTCAGACGACGTTGTATACCTTTGAGGAGAGCATTTTCTGGACAAATAGAAATCAGGAGTTTGTTTCCATAACGACGCTAGAGTTACCTTTAGCAAAATTCTGAACCCTTTGCAGAATATTTTCCGTTGCACTTTTGACACACGCCTTTATGACATGTCCTAAGGGACCTTGATCGTCTAAACCAGGACATGTTTTCACCTTTTCAAGTGCTGCAGATACTGCGTCTGATGCTGAAATATATACCAATCAATAATCTTTTTTATGTTTTACAATACGGCAAATAGTTTTATGTTCATGCTGCATGTTCTGAAAAATTATTTTAAGTACCTTACATATAAAACCAAATATAGTATAAAACACATTAGGGAACTGGAACAGGGGAAACAACAACATTGTCACTAACATCACCCCTTAACATCATCCCCTAACACCTCACCATTGTCACTCAACATCATGTCCCCAAACCGTTCTCCGGCGTCACCCCCAGCACCATCCCCGACATCGTCCCCTAACATCGACCCCATCCCCCACATCGACCTCAAACGTCGTCACCCAAAATCGACACCATCCCCCACATCAACCTCAAACATCGTCACCCAACATTGACCCCATCCCACAAACATCAACCTCAAACATCAAACATCGTCACCCAACACCCAACATCGACCTCCATCCCCACATCGACCTCAAACATCGTCACCCAACATCGACCCCATCCCCACATCGTCCCTCAAACATCGTCACCCAACATCGACCCCATCCCCCCATCGACCTCAAACATCGTCACCCAACATCGACCCCCATCCCCTCACATCGACCTCAAACATCGTCACCCAACATCGACCCCATCCCCCCCACATCGACCTCAAACATCGTCACCCCATCGACGACCTCAAACATCCACCATCGCCCTCAAACATCGTCACCGAACATCGACCCCTCCCCACATCGACCTCAAACATCAACACCTGAACCCCATCCCCCAAACATCGACCTCACATCGACCTCAAACATCGTCACCCAACATCGACACCCTCCCCACAGACATAGTCGCCCTAACATCGACCCCCATCCCCACATCAACCTCAAACATCGTCACCCAATATTGACACCCTCCCCCACAAACATCGTCTTCCAACATCGACCCCTCCCCACATCACCCATCGCCCTAAAACATCGACCCCATCCCCACATCGACCTCAAACATCGTCACCCAATATCGACCCCATCCCCCACATCGACCTCAAACATCGTCACCCAACATCGACCCCATCCACCACATCGCCCTCAAACATCGACCCCCATCCCCCATTCGACCCTCAAACATCAACCCCTGAACATCGACCCCATCCACCACATCGACCTCAAATATCGTCACCCAATATCGATCCCCTCCCCCACATCACCCTCAAACATCGTCACCCAATATCGACCCCATCCAGCACATCGACCTCAAACATCGTCACACAACATCGACCCCCTCCCCCACATCGCCCTCAAACATCGACCCCTCAACATCGACCCCATCCAGCACATCGACCTCAAATATTGTCACCCAACATCGACCCATCCTCAGAAAAATGTGGACGTCAATCGTATGTCTGACAAACGTTTTGTCGTTGACTATTCATAGATAGATTTATGTATATATAAGCAGTACGGGGAAATATTTTAGATTAATCGTCTTGGGTCACATACCTTTTTCATCAAGTGTAATAGCTGTTAGATTTTTCTGCTCCCGAGCTGTTTTCCATTTCAAGGTCAACTTTGTACGTAGGGGAAACTGAGTTGGCGGGACACTCCTGGTCAGTGAAGTGACAGGGTACTTGGTCATGGTCAATTTGTGTCACGAATCATAACCAACAACATTTACGCCAATTAACTATAATTGATAGAATCATCACGGCCTTTTACGCAAAGTGGATTTTATCTCTGCGGATATTTGACACTTTAAATCTCAATTTAGGTTTCAAGTGAAGTGGCGTTGGTGAACACAGGTGTTCTTTAGAAATGGCACCATGTGTTCGACCGTATGTTCCGTCAATTTGTGCAAACATGATCTGTATTAATTGTCCTACATTTGTGCTGTAACAAAGCAATCTCGGGTACTTACTCATGTCCAAGAGAGAGTTCTTCAGCTAGGTGTAAACCAAACACTGTCGGATACATCAACACTGGCACATCAATGCAGCCAGAAAGATACCTTTCCACTGAAACGACGCCTTTTAATCTTGTGTAGTCAAAACTCTCTGTCCTCAGCACTCCGTTAGGCCTGAACAGTAACATATTAAGCAGATTAACATGAATGATTGAGTTAGTGAATGTAACACCACTACGAACTGTGTTTTTGCTATTGGAGGTGGGTCTGCCAGGGAACCTCCTGCAGGTTTTACCCTGCACCACTGAAACGCATGACGAGGGTGATCGGGAAGAAAGGGGTTCGAACCGATGACTTTGTGGCACGACTGAGAGACAAAATTCTACAAAGAGAATTGTGGCCCCATGACATCTTTCGATACATTGTCTCCCATTTCTTTTCATTAATGGTTGGTAAAATAGTGTTCTGACATCATATTTGATTTGGTCAGGCAACATTAATTGGGATACTTGCTGTTTCAGTCTGTTGCGAGAACAACTCAGCACAGAGACCAGACCGATTTTATCTGCCAAATTGGATGTATCGATGAAGTCAAACCGGAGACTTTCTGGCAGGTCCTTCTCGCACACTTCGGTTGCCTCTCCCAGCCACATGTAGATCTACCAAACAGTACACCATTAACAGTGAGTGAGTGAGTGAGTGAGTGAGTGAGTGAGTGTGAGTTTAGTTTTACGCCGCGCTCAGCAATATTCCAGCGATATGGCGGCGGTCTGAAAATAATCGAGTCTGGACTAGACAGTCCAGTGATCAACAGCATGAACATCTATCTACGCAACTGGAATGCGATGACATGTGGCAACCCAGTCAGCAAGCCTGACCACCCGATCCCGTTAGTCGCCTCTTACGACAAGCATGGGTTACTGAAGATCAATATTCTAACCCGGACCTTCACGGGTCACCATTAACAGTACAAATAACAAATGTATTAACAATACACTATATGGGATACATAAGGAGCTTTTAAACAACGTTTTCAAACGTTTGTTTTAGCGACGGAATGTGCGTGTGTGCGCCGGTGCGTGCGTGCGTGCGTGCGTGCGAGGAGGATATCTATGAATGGCGTCGAAAATACTGCTGTTTCTTGTTTCAACCTAAATCGTGTTTTTTTTACTTTCATTCTGTATAGCGTCTGTACCTTGAGAATACAGCCATCTTCCATTGCTGCCTGGAAACATTCCACCCACTTCTTTAGCATCTCCATGCAGAGGGAGGCGAGAGTCACCTTACACCCATCGTACCTAGGTGTGACCATAGTCCACGTGAGCATACAAAAATATATAGCAACGACAACTTTGTATGCACGAACACGTAAATGCATAGAAATACATCTCTCTGAACATATTTGCTGTGTGAAAACAAAATAACTCTTTAATAATGTTTCTATACCTGTGGAGTTCAAGGTCGATGTCGTGAGATAGGTATGGACAGCAATCGTCAGGGACAGTCCATATATTCCATCCAGGTCTCAACAGGGTCATGTTGCCACTGAAGCTATCCACCACCCGTTTAGACGAGAGCGATTGTAAATTGACCCTCGTAACTCCAGTTGTGATATAGTCGCGGATCTCCTGATGGTATCTGCTCATATTAAAGAAACATATTAAACAAACAGAGTGAGAGAGTTTAGCTTTACGCCGCATTTAGCAATATTTCAGCAATATCACGGCCGGCGACACCAGAAATGGGCTTCACACATTGTGCCATGAAACGATGGTGAATCGAACCAAGGTCTTCGGCTTGACGGGCGAACGCCTTAACCACTAGGCTACCCTACGCCCCTTAAACAAACAGACGAGTCGCAGCAAGGACATTGTCTTGGTGTCGAAGATATACAATATTTAGTTATTTTCTCCTGCTCCTCCTGAAAGGATCCCATACCCACAACCACTGATTTGTCATTTGCAGTTATACAAGCCTATTGATGGGGTAATATTAGTCCTTTTTTGAGGATTTGGGGAACGATCTATTAAATTATTGTCGATTTATTGATATTTTTTTCTTCACACAAAAAGATACTGTATTATGTCAAGAGAAATAGGCACTGACGCTTGTCAAATAACGAAGTCATATGAAACAACTGTACTCAGTATATATGTTTAGTAAATATGTCTGTTACATTAATTTGCCTAAATCATGCCTTCTGGTAGTCTTTAGTACGGTAGGATATGATTATTTTGTCAATAGCCAAGAAACTGTTTGATATGACATGTGTAGATATGGCAATTATCCTAACATACAGACAAAGGTGAAGGTCACCTTACACCTGTCGCACCATCGCAATTATAACATTGAGACGGACTTCTCTTGAACTTTAAAGCCCATTAGATTAAATTTGCTAGTATGTTGTACAAGGATGGCAGCGATATAGAATTAATGTGCTCTGTCATTGTTTACATTTTTATTTATTTCCGGTCGTTCTCAAGGAATCCATTCATTTGATCAATTACGGAATCAATCGATATGGAAAAGGATAGAATAGAATAAATATATAGAGATATGATTGAAGCGATGTTCGAAATAACGAAAACCACTGTGCATGTTTATGCTACTCTGATGTCCAACCTGACTGCTAGTTGAATACATGGAGGCGTGGCTCGTATGCTAATGAGTAGGTGACATACCTGTCCTTGAGTCGCTGTACTTTGTCAAGGCGACCACACTGGGCACTCACTCTCTGTGTAATCCAGTCTACTGCTGTCTGTGGTAGGTCAACTTTAGGACGGACCATTTGTCCTGTTGACCAGTCCATGAATAACTTCGGCACGTTTGTTCTGTACAGAGAGTTTAGGAATTCCCATCTCGTATCTCTCATTTGTTTACCATTCATTTCGAATTTCTCCATACCTAGAAGAGCCCTTTTGATGGAGACTTCACTTTTCATATTTCCAAAATACACTCCATTATTGCCAGACTGGACTAACGACACTCTTTTCATCACTTGCTTCAGCCTCTGTAGGTGTTCCTGTGACAACAAGACATCGTACCAGACTCCCAAAAGAAACTTCAAATCTTCCGAGTTATTTGGATCAATTGTTCCAGCGAGGTACAGCAAAATCAGATCGCGTCCCAAGATACTGTCTTCAATGTCATTGAGGTGGATGTTGATTGTCTGATCTTTTGATTTTGTGGTTCCTCTTGTCTGAAGCTCGTGAATGGTGTGTAGGACGTTCCTGACATCCCCACACCCAAGTAACAGCATGTCACACTCCTTGTCAACCTGACATCCAAGCGTCACATCAACTGGCCTCGTGTTTCCAATAGGAAAATAGGACATTGCATTGTGTGTGGCCGTCCCCATATTGCTGTAACATATACCGTATAAAAGTATAAATCAATAGTGGCGGTTCCAAAACTGGCTGCAGTAATTGTTCAGTGAGTTAGTTACAAGCACAATTCCCATAAACGCGGTCACGTGTGAAAGAGTTGACGGGAACTAAATGCGGTCACGTATGAAAGAGTTGACGGGAACTAAATGCGGTCACGTATGAAAGAGTTAACGGGAACTAAACGCGGTCACGTATGAAAGTGTTGACCGGTACTAAACGCAGTCACATATGAAAGAGTTGACGGGAACTAAACGCGGTCACGTATGAAAGAGTTGACGGGAACTAAACGCGGTCACGTATGAAAGTGTTGACGGGAACTAAACGCGGTCACGTATGAAAGAGTTAACGGGAACTAAACGCGGTTACGTATGAAAGCGTTGACCGGTACTAAACGCGGTCACGTATGGAAGAGTTGACGGCGGTCAATGAAAGAGTTGACTAAAAGAGTTGCGGTCACGTATGAAAGAGTTGACGGGAACTAAATGCGGTCACGTATGAAAGAGTTGACGGGAACTAAACGCGGTCACGTATGAAAGAGTTAACGGAACGAGAACTAAACGCGGTCACGTATGAAAGCGTTGACCGGTACTAAACGCGGTCACGTATGGAAGAGTTGACGGGAACTAAATGCGGTCACGTATGAAAGAGTTGACGGGACCGAAACGTGTATGAAAGAGTGAAAGGAAACTATATGAGGTTACGTACATGTATGATAGAGTTAACGGAAAGTAAATTCGTTCAACTCGTTATTAACTTAGTAAGGACTGTACAGTATGTTGGATTTAAGTTGGGGAAGTTGTAAAAAGTGTATAATTTATGCACAAACATTATAACATAAACCGATTTAATTTGTGACTACCACAGAAGTATCGAATGGAATGCGTTACCGGACAAGGGTGTGTGTGTGTGGATCACATGAAGTGTCGCAGACGAGATTACACTTCCTTATACTGCCCATTGATTTTCAGTAAATCTGTTATCTTCTCATGACAGAAGCACCCATATAGCCCAGCGGATAAGTGATCAACTTGTGCACTTTGTGTTACAAGCATGAAATTTGGCATGATTGTAGCTTATACCCTTCTTATTAAATAAAGATCGAGAGACCTGCAGATTTTTTATATTTTTCATAATTTGGGGGAAAGTGAAAAAAAAATCATTTTGTGTACTAACTTATTTTAAAATTCTTCAACTCTCATAAGTCATATATCAAATTGTAGGGAAATCATAGCTGATCATTTTCCATCTATACATGCCTTTTATCTTTAACGGTTAGGTCTACGAAAGTCAATATCAATATCATGACTACCCGAAAATGGGAAAATTGGCGGCCATTTTTCAAAATAGACTACATCAGACTACATCAGTAAAATAAGTATGAGATCACCCATGATCTAACATATTTTTATCATTTCTTTGCAAATTCAATACGAGAAGCCTAGCAGATTTGGGCCATTTTTCATTTTTTTTTTTTATTTGGGGAAGGGGCAAAATTGAATTTTTTTTAAATTTATATTTTAACTCAATTTTAAATCCTCATGATTTATGTATCTAGAATATTGTGAGAATAGATGGAAGTTTATTTGAAGGAATATTTCATTAGATTTACTTACAGGTTTAATGTATGAGCTTGGTTGGCTATAGATCACTTATAAAAATACATATCAAAATCAACACAAACATGTTTCATTTCAACATCAATTTTTAACAGATATGAAAAATATAAAAAATCTGCGAGGCCTCTCGGTCTGTATTTAATAAGAAGGGTATAAGCTACAATCATGCCAAATTTCATGCTTGTAACACAAAGTGCACAATTCAGTGAAAAAACTGCACTTATTCGCTGGGCTAATACTTTCTGCCTCAGTACAACACTTCTGTCATTCGCCACTCAGAAGAAAGTATACGACTGTTTAGGAATAACATAGATATGATTATGGAGTGGAGATATGACTGTTGAGTATTAAAGGCTAATTCTTAATTGACCATACTTAACTGATACTAAAAGTATTAGAAAAGACAATGTAGCAAGTATGTTTTCTGCATGATGCCAGAGAGCCAGCAAAGGACACAGTTATGTCAAGCAAGGAATGTTGTGAAATATGAACACTTGATATAAAGTCCACTGCAAAGAGAAATGCGTGGTAACAATTTGTTTTAAACATTAATTATTACCAAAGCTATAGCCGACCTAGATGTGAGAAGATTCAATAATGTGGTATAAACACGGAGATGACTTTCACAAACTGATCTCAGTTTCAGGTATGCGTGTACCTGTTCTTGTGACATGTGTGTTCCCAAATCGGTTCAGACCGGCAAAAGACGTGAGCCCAACGTAGAACATATATCTCTTCTGGTCAAATGCAAATAATAGACACGGGTCATGTGGCATAGCCATTCAGTATTCAATGTTGTATTCAATTCTGTACGGAAAGCTAACTATACAAGGATGTATGTATATTTTGATGCATTGAAATGATATTCTGTGTCTGACCTTTACTCAGTACGTAAATAAATAAATGTGTGATCAAATGTTATGTGGCCTGTCGCGATCTGAATGTTCGTGCATCACATTTCATTACTACGATATTGTCTCAATCTAGTCTTACCTTGATTCTGAACAACGCAATACCCCTACAGTCAGTGGTCGGTGAATAGGTACAATACACAACGCCCTAGCAACAAACGCTTCTCGGAAACCACCCGTTGACAAGAACTGGTCTACTTTCGTTTCATCATATAAAGGGATATAACTGTGTTTGTAACTTCAGACATCAGCCATCCAGAGGGAACATGAAGTTAGAAACGGATTCGGGATTGGGGATTAGGGATTCGAATCCCGAATCTGAATATTTTTTTCATATTCAGGATTCGAATCCCGAATCTGAATATTTTTTCACATTTGGGATTCGAATGATGAATCTGAAAAAAAAAATTCATATTCATCCCGAATCTGAATATTTTTTCCATATTCGGGAAACGATTCCCGAATCTGATTTTTTTTCAGATTCGGTATTTTAGCACATTCGACACTCGGCATTCGGTATTTGAACTCTTATATTTCATCCCCCTTCTAATGTACTAGGTGCTCGTTGTATACCTGGGTAACTACAGTTTCCGATATTTGAACCTCAAATCTGAGTTTTCTCAACATTCGGGTTTCGGGATTTGAATCCCAAATCTGAAAAAAATATTCAGATTCGGGATTCAAATCCCGAATATGGAAAAAATATTCAGATTCGGGATTCAAATCCCGAAACCCGAATGTTGAAAAAACCCACAGATTTTAGGTTCAAATATTGGAAACTGTAGTTTGGTTGTTTATACTTATAAGTTACCCAGGTATACAACGAGCACCTAGTACATTAGAAGGGGGATGAAATATAAGAGTTCAAATACCGAATGCCGAGTGTCGAATGTGCAAAAATACCGAATCTGAAAAATATTCAGATTCGGGATTCGAATCCCGAAACCTGAATGTTGAGAAAACTCAGATTTGAGGTTCAAATGTCGGAAACTGTAGTTTGGTTGTTTATGTTTTTAAATTACCGAGATATATTACGAGCACCTAGTACATTAGAAGGGGGATGAAATGATGAATATTGACCTTGTTCGTATTTCTTTGATGCCTGCAATCAGGGAAGTGCTTCAGGACCGTTAACTATCTCCAGGGTGCACGGCAACGTCGAGGATAGATAAGATTAAGGTGCAAAGAGTATAGTTACAAGGACGCCGTATGTGCAAAAGATAAAACCCGAATATGAAAAAAAATCAGATTTGGGATTCGAATCCCGAATATGAAAAAAATCAGATTCGTGTTTCGAATCCCGAATCTGACAAAAAGTTCTGATTCGGGATTCGAATCCTGAATGTGAAAAAATATTCAGATTCGGGATTCGAATCCCCAATCCCCAATCCCGAATCCGTTTCTAACTTCATGTTGCTCCATCCAGATGGATTTGTATACGAACAAATTACTAATTTTAAGATAAGAATGCTGATCGGAATGTATCTTGAAATTAAAAGTAATTTTTTACGCTCTTTCGTTTTAAGATGTATACATGTTTTATAATGTATCATTCACGTTGATGCTACAAAGTACATACCTTCAACATTCCTTGCGCAGATTTATATGCACGGTTTGATGGACATATTATTTCTCAATGCGAACTACTTCCCTTTTTATATGGAATATAAACAATGTACATGAATACAATACCCTTTCCATAGCACTAAGATACCTGTCTGGCACCACGGGCGGATACAGCTTTTTGAGAAAGTGGGGGTGCACGCTATTGAGAAAAGGAGGGGTGCACACTTCATTTTCACCCGAGTTTCAATGGTCATTAATAAACTTTCAGAGCAATAGGGGAGGTGCGCACCCCTGCACCCCCACCCCCCACAGATCCGCCTATGTGTACGATTTCGATTCAGATACTAAGGGTCGGGGACAGCGTACGCCCGTCACGCATTGGTTCCAGTTCGTTACCCCACGAAACACACAACTCATTAAGAATGTCTTCTTTGAGAGGCATTTTAGAAGTTGTATAGATGAAGGAAAACCAAGTTCTATGGATAGTCAAACTTCTTTACTGCAATGAGTGCGACGTCTTGGTGTAGGTACTAACGCCGTTATCAAACAAGTGATACAAAGAGTTGTAACATGGAGAATATATACATAGCTGCATAGTGTGTGTATACAATTGACTAGGTTGATGTACATTGGATTGCTAATTAGTGATTTGAGCAGAGTAGGCACATTAAGAATGGGTTTGTGATATTGCTGAAATATTGTTGACTTTATCATGTCCGTCGAAAGCATCTCAGAAACGTTATGGTTGCGTCCTTTATCACTATTTTCCTAATATATTTTTCACATATTGTAAACAAGGTTAAATGTTTTAATCTTTTAACCATACCTTTTTAAATTTATTTGTATACGTTTTTTTGCCTATGATTTTTTTATCGGCAATGTAGTCTCTCATAACCCCATGGTGGGTGGCTCGATATATTTTACCTGTATATTTTATTTATGTATATATGCAATATTGATATGTATCGAGGTGAGACTTAAATACAAATATCTGTCTGACTGCCTGTCTATCTATGTACAAATCGTACATGACCAAGCTGTAAATGCGGTGCTACTTCTTCCGCAGGTGTTCCGTGTGTATTCATAGTGTATTCAGCTTTTTATTGTATTCAGCATTTTATTGTTATATTTTCAAGGATTAACAATATTTGTTCCGGTTCATTGCTTTCTAAATATATATTAATATTAGGACATTACATAAGTATTCATAACCATTTATTTCCTGAATAACATTTATAAACGAAGTTGCGTAAGCACACTCGGAAATATATTCAGCCATGACCACAGTAGATACACGATTATGTACATATACCCTCGCGTCAAGGGTTTCCGTGGTATTAAGAAATGTACGACAATGAGTAGGATCGCTGACATTGACAAGTCATATAAACGTAATATAGTGTTAGACTACATACCCTTGTATCATTTAATGTCAATTAAACCCTTTTGTCATTCCGAATTTCATTGTAAACCGTATCAGACGACAGGCGGCCATTGTGCACAAACTCCGGTGACGTCATATGTTTCCGTGGTATTCCTCACAGATGAAACTACGGGCGCACAGCACATGCCACAATCTCATGTGTTGGCGACATCCAATCCAGAAGTGTCCGTGTAGGTTTACAGTAATAAACGAAGTTGGAAAATTGTAATACAGTCACCAAGAATTAACACAATAGTCACATTTCTTCAGCATAAATTTCCTGATCTCCAAATATGTACTGTTGAGCAATGGAATACGTAATATGAATTCTTCATGAGGGTTGTATAATTAACACTGTGATTATTCTGCATTATTACATGGACAGTAAAATTCGTCGTGACGGCGAAGGAATGATGTGGTACAACAATACTTGAGATGCACCCAATGCTCACAGTCACGAAACGTGAACTGACCCCACTTGGTATATACAGAGGGACTTGTGTAATTTGGCACCAGCCCGTGGTGAAAACTGAATTTTTGAATAAATCAAAATGAGTATTTTAGTATTTTAGGAGTTTAGGATGGATCTTTGTAAAATTTGACAGTCAAATTTGAAATCATCTCTGCTCTACGCACATTAATTCAGTTCAATTTTCCGACCTCTATTTAACTAATGACATCACATTTATCAACTTACGTACACTGAAAGACAACTTACGTACGGTTCCACAATGCACAATCCCATAGGCCGCCATGTTATAGGAGTTCACGGCACTGTACATATGTTGATTAAAATGTTACCATTCGATAAATAAGCAACAGAAAATTAAACAGAAATTATGTGATTGTAGGTAAAATGATTCCTCACAAATGTGCAAAATTTGACTTGGATCTTACTAAAATTAAAATCATGAAAATTATTTATGCTACATTACATTAACATGTAAGTCTATGGAAATTACGTCAAGTGTCCGAATACTTTTGGCACGACTCTGTATATCTTAAAAGATTTGTCAGGGGTGAATCATTTGAATGAATTTGTATTAATTACCGTAAAGTATTTGCAAAGGTACTGGTGTAGGAAATTTTAAGTCTAAATAAAACTAAACCTTTTATATAATATTTTGGCGATTGCGACTATATCGTGGAAATAGAAGCGACAAAACCCTTTCAACATTCATAAGAAATCTCCGCCAAAAGCAGAGTCGACTATATCATGGGCAGAGATTTGTTTCAGTAGTATTACTGCTGTAAGATGTTGTTTGCAAACAAATCGGGTCTGAACCAGACAACCCAGTGATTGTCACCATGCGATACAATGACAGAGCATGTGTTTATGAATCACTATGAATAGTGATGACACCAGGTGTTTGCGAAAAGGTGGGCGTAAAGGTGTCATAAACATATGCTAAGTCTAGTCATTTGTTCACCTGAAATAATTCGGGAAGGTATGGTATACAGTCAGCAGCGCGGTCAACTTCAATCGTTCGGATTAACGCAGCTGTTTACAACTTAATTAGTCCAATCCGTTCCGACTGACCAGCGTTCGGAGGCGGAAACTGAATCATCGGACTAACGAGGTGTCAATTATATACAATATATAGGGAGATGATTTGGTGCCCAGTGAGTAGCTTTCGGAAGTGGGTGGATTCGGATTAACGAGGACCTGATTACCGCGGCCTGACTGTAAGTCAAAATAGGGAACTGCATCGGACATCATTTTTGGCACTGATGCATCAAATTTGGAAATTTTCTCCACATGTCTACCATAAAACTTCTTGAAAGCTTTACTGAGGCCTTGAATGTTGTAACTTTGATCAAACACCATCAAACAGTACCAAGTGTACCAGCTGTGTGTATATAGTACCCCACCGGTATCATCAGTGACAAACACAAAGACATGCAAACACATCAAAGCAATAAGTGAAAAAAAATGATTGGAGCATTAAATGATATAAATATAAATTATTCTCATAACAATGAATTCCTTACAAAATGTGTCAAATTCTCAACTGACTGGGAGAGATTGTTAAAGTCAAGCAGTCAAATGTTGTTTCATCTGTGTAGTACGTAATAGAATGGATTAATGCTTAAACAGCGACATATGCACAAACAGAGCTCTTTCCACAAACCTGAAATCTTCGCTGAGATAACCAGTGAATAAAGGATAACTCCATATACTAGTACATGTTTTTGCCTCGTTCAAGG